CTGTTACCCTAGCTGCATAATGTTAGCCTTGCTGCATGCTGTTAGCCTCGCTATCTTAAAGTTATAGCCCCCCCCACATTCTTTATTTTGATTTATTGAATGTGTAAATACTGAACTTCTATCACATCGACCAACATGAAATCTACAGAGAAGGCTGTAGATCTACAGAAAAGTTTCTGTAGATCTACAGCCTCCTAGAAGCTCTGTTTAAGTACTTTAAGTAACTTTTAATGTTTAAGTAACTCTGTTTAAGCCCTGTAAAAGTAAATCCACCTGTATATAAGAAATCCGGATTGTACATATTTTTATTTCTCATTTCTTTATTTCTTATTTTGTTTTTCATTGTGTGCGATACAGGTACACTTGCACCTTAATCCTTATTTACCTGGATATACTGTGTGTGTATATATATAGTTTGTTTATTCTTAATGCACCTTTTCCTCCTTGTTTGCACCTTCTTTAACTTCTATGCCAATATGTGACAAGTGAATTTCTCCGCTGTGAGATCAATAAAGCTCATCTAATCTAATCTAATCTAATCTAAGTTTGTCTAATGTTAGAATCTAGTAAGTTAATCATGAATCCTGTTAGCAAATATTCAAACACGCTGTAGTTCAGATTAGATTAGATTGGCTCCTGGATTAATGTCAGTAATACAGTAATAATTTATTAGTTCCTAATTTTTTAATTTATTAATAAACACAGTTGTGAAAAACTTGGTTTACATTAATTTAAGATGTAGAAATATTTTAGTAAAGCAAAGTTCTCTGAAAATCAGAATATAGAAAATAATGGAGATTATGTGGAAAATATTTATATTTCTTATTCAGTAAAATGTTCTGCTCTATAAAAACATTTTAAATCCTCCAACCCTGACAGGTGCAACTATTCACCCCCTAAACATCAACCATGCAGGGTGTGAAAACTTTAGCCAGCCGCTGCAGGTGCTGGTTCTGGTTCTGAGTCCGGGACGCAGCAGAACCTCCTGGTTTGGACCTTCCAGCAGAACCTTCTGCCGGGTCCAAACCAACAGAACCGAGTCCAGAGGTTCTGATGAGGTTCGAACATCCGGATCGAACCGGAACAGGCGGAACCTTTAACCAGAACTCAGTAACGGAAAATGGTTCCGGTTTCTCTGCTGCCGACCAGAACCGGAACCACCTGGCTGTTTCGGAGCCACAGCTGTGAGGTCAAACTGCTCCGGTTCTGATCCGGTCCAAGGTCGGAACCGGACCTGGTTCTGGTACCTCATCAGATCCCGCCTGTAATCTGTTCCATCCTCGTTGGATCAGAACCGAACAGAACCAGAACTCACCGATCATCGTGCAGCTCGTCCTTCATGGGATTGTTTACAATCTGCCGGCCGCAGTGGATTCTGGGAGCTGTAGTCTGTGTTTAACTGCCTACTTTATCTCGGTACATTTCTGCCCCCTACTGGACTGTAGCGGTTCTGACCGGTTCCTCTTTTTGGGTCATTGAGGTTCCGAACCTTTCAGTCAGGGTCTTAGCAGGGCTAGAAAACAGAACCATTGGACCGGGTGGTACCGACAGAACCATTGGACCGGACAGTACCAACAGAACCATTGGACCGGGCGGTACCGACAGAACCATTGGACCGGACAGTACCAACAGAACCATTGGACCAGGTGGTACCAACAGAACCATTGGACCAGGTGGTACCAACAGAACCATTAGACCCAACGGTACCGAGAGAACCACTGGACCAGGTGGTACCGACAGAACCATTGGACCGGACAGCACCAACAGAACCATTGGACCAGGTGGTACCGACAGAACCATTGGACCGGACAGTACCGACAGAACCATTGGACCAGGTGGTACCAACAGAACCATTGAACCGGACGGTACCAACAGAACCATTAGACCGGACAGTACCGACAGAACCATTGGACCGGACGGTACGACAGAACCATTGGACCGGGCGGTACCAACAGAACCATTGAACCGGACGTTACCAACAGAACCATTAGACCGGACAGTACCGACAGAACGATTGGACCGGGCGGTACCAACAGAACCATTGAACCGGGTGGTACCAACAGAACCATTGAACCAGGTGGTACCAACCTAAACAGAGCAGAGGTTGACCAGAAGCTTCTGTCTGTTTTGGAGATTAGGGTGATGGCAGGGAGGCCTTCCCAGTCCAACTTCAGAGCCTTGGACCGGGTGGACACCAGCAGGAGGTCCATAGGCCCTGGTTCTGCTGGAGGTTTCTTCCTGTTCAAAGAGTTTTTCCTCTCCACTGTCACTACAAGCATGCTTAGTGTGAGGAATTGCTGAAGAGTCAATGAGTCGATGCAATCAGCTGGTTTTCCTTAGGTAGAAAACTGAATCAACCTGACTGGATGAACTGGATCTATAAAGTGCCCTGAGCTGAGATGATGTGAATTGGAGCTATAGAAATGAATTGAATAGAATTGAACCAGAAGCCAGTGGGAACCAACAGACTGTAGAACTTCCTGATTTCCATTCTGTTGGATCAGAACCATCTAGAATCTGTAGATAAACCTCAGAAGGAGCGTTCATGGCTCCGCCTCCTTTAACCCAAACACCAGGGGTCTCCACCCCCACCTCAGACTCATCCATCCTGGTCCTCTGCCCGCCATCGCTGAGCACCCCCTAAGCTCCTCCCCCTCTGGTGACGATCCTCCTATTCTACAGAAAAACAACTAAATCACCATGGCAACCCAAATGATTTGTAAAGAACTCAGCTGCTGATCAGAGCTGATCGCTCCGTAACAGGAAGCAGCAGGAGGTAAACAGGAAGTGGAAGCAGACAGGAAGTAGTTTTAATTTTTATTACAAAACGCGGGACAATAACAGGTGAACAGGTTTATTCTAAATGAAAACACGATACAATGATGAACGTCGTTCTTTATGCCCACAGAGCCAAACCCAAACAAACCAACACAACCAGGGCAGGGGGCGGGGCTTCAAGGGGGCGGAGCTTCAAGTGCTGCTTATTTTCTAGAGACTGGGGGGGGAGGGCACATTTATAAATAAATCACTATTAAATTAACTCCCATTCACAGTTCAAAGTGAGGACGAGCAGGAACTGAAAAGAAGGGGCGGGGCTTACACAGGAAATGCTTTTATTTTGTCAACAGGAGGAAGTTTAGCGAGTTCAGATCACTAACCATCGCTCACCATCCAGCCAATCAGCAGTCAGTTTACTGAGGAGTCTGTGTCGGCTGTCTCCGTTTCCCATGAGGCTGAGGGAGGTGAGGCGGGATTGTCTGAGGGAGGGGCAGGTAGTGGGCGGGGCCAAGAACAGGTGGTGAAGCTAAAGGTTCCAACCATATATGGAAATCCCCCACCGAATGCCCATATATGGACGTCCTGCTGCCATCGAAACCGAAGAACCAGTTCCTGAAACCTGGAGAACTCAACATCCCAACGGGTCCAGAACATTTCTGAAAGTGACCTCAGCTGGTCCCACAACCAGTCAGCGCTGGTCCAGAACAGACCCAGAACCGACCCGGATCCGGTTCAGAACCCATCCTGAACCGGCCCGGAACCGACCCGGCGCCTCATTCAGAGTCAGACTCCAGCGGGGCGGTCTCGTCCACCACAGGTGGGCTGCGGGTCTTGGCGGCGGCCTGCAGGTGGGCCTTCTTGTGGCGGGAGAAGCTTGAGGAGTGCATGAAGGTCTTGTTGCAGGCGGTGCACATGTAGGTCTTGGTCTTGGAGGCCGGGAGTCCAGTCTTGGAGTGGATCAGCTTTCCCGGGCCGCCGCCGCTGCCGTTACCGTGCGTCTGCTGGTGGCGAACCAGCCTGGAGGGATGATTGAAGGTCTTCCCGCACTGGTCGCAGGAGTGGCGGCGTGCGTCGCCGTCTCTGCCCGATGAGCCTCCCATGTCGTCGCTGGTGCGTTTGGGGGGCCGTCCTCCTCGGCGGCGGCGGTTCTTCTTGCACAGAGTGTAGAAGTTGGGCTTGTCGCGGGAGCAAAGCTTCAGGCGGATCTTCAGGTCGGACGAGCTCTCGCCGAGGTTCTCCTTCCCTGGCGTGTAGCTGTCCAGCAGCTCCTTGACGTGGGTCACCTGATGCTTGGACAGCAGCGTGGATGTTCTGAAGCTCATGTCGCACTGCGGGCAGGCATAGAACTTGTCGGTGGCGGCGGGGCTCTGGATGATGGCGGTGGCCACGTGCTGCGGTTTCTTGGCCTTTTTGTTCTTGGTGCCGATCTTGAGGGTGTGGCGCAGCGTGGCGGGGGAGGGGTCCAGCGCGGCGTCCTTGGCGAGGCCTTTGCCCTTCTTGTGGATGAGGCGATGGCGTGACAGGCTGGAGCTGTGGTTGAACTCCTTCCCACAGATGTTGCACGGGTGAATGCGCCGCTTCCCGTGAAGCCGCAGGTGGCTGCCCAGCATCCTGTAGGGAACAGAGACACGGTCAGACCCTCAGCATCAAACTGACCCGGTTAGTCCTGCTGGCAGCTAGTTTATTTAAACTGGCCTCGTTAAACTGGTTCCTAGAACCACTTAGTCCCCACCCACACTAACAAAACAAACCCTCTCTGGCCTTCTACATCTTCAGCTCCCTGAAGCTTCTGTCTCCTCTCCTTCCAGTTGGAGCAGACCCAGGTACTACCCCCCCAGGAACCAGAATCCTGGACTCTACCAGAACCACCACCGGGAACCAGGCTCCTGGACTCTACCAGACCCAGCTCCGGGAACCAGACTCCTGGACTCTACCAGAACCACCACGGGGAACCAGACTCCTGGACTCTACCAGAACCACCACCGGGAACCAGACACCTGGACTCTACCAGAACCAGCTCCGGGAACCAGACTCCTGGACTCTACCAGAACCACCTCGGGGAACCAGACTCCTGG